GTGAGACAAATAGGCTTGGTGAGGAGAAGATCACAGATGGTTGAGCTTGGAGTGGGAGCTAAGCTATGAGGATGTAAAGGCATAAGAATGACACAATGGACTTTGGGGACTCAAGGGAAAAGGATGGGGAGGGGTGAGGGATAAAAAACTACAAATTGGGTGCAGTATATACTGCTTGGGTGACGGGTGCACCAAAATCCCACAAATCAACACTAAAGAACTTCCTCATGTAACCAAACACCACCTGTTCCCCAATTACCTATGGAAATAAAAAACTTAATAAACAAATTCCCCCAATGGAATGATATCAGGCTGGCTCTGGAATATGGGATTCTGGAGTTCTGGAAAGAGGTCCTTTGGGGAATCATTAAAAACCGGTATTTAAAGCCCAATCCTGTGATCACCTTGGCAGAGAGTGTAAACAGGAAAAAGAAAAAGGCTGAAAATTGTGCAGGCCATGGTTTAGAGGCCTAGGGGTTGAGGAGGAGGTACCAGAGATGTCAGCTGAGGAGTGGCCAATGGGGCAGATGAAAAACCAGGCAACTGCTGAGCCTCAGAAGCCAAGGAAAGGCTTCCAGGAGGAGATGGGGTGACCGACCATGTCAAGGTCTTAGGAAAGTTAGGGTTACCATTCAAGCTAAGATGCTTTTGAGAGAAAAACAAGTTGCTAGAGATAATTAAAATAATGCATTTTCTGAAATATTATGTATTGCCTGACAAATTAGATTGTTGGCCAGGCACAGTGGCTCATGCCTGTAATCCCAGCACTTTGGGAGGCTGAGGAGGGCGGATCACAAGGTCAGGAGTTCGAGACCAGCCTGGCCAATATGGTGAAACTCCACCTCTACTAAAAATACAAAAACTAGCCAGGCATGGTGGCAGGCAACTGTAGTCCCAGCTACTCGGGAGGCTGAGGCAGGAGAATCGCTTGAACCCGAGAGGCGGAGGTTGCAGTGAGCCGAGATCACGCCACTGCACTCCAGCCTGGGCGACAGAGCAAGATTCTATCTCAAACAAACAAACAAACAAACAAAAATTAGATTGTTATAGTGGTGGACCTATAAATGCCACTGGCATTTTCCTAAAAACATTTTTTTCTTAAGTATGGTCTTACTATTCTTACTTCTTTGATAAAATCACTTAGAGTCTTACTCAAAGTTGTATTCTTTTGTTATAAATTACATCTGTGGACATTAATTAACTGTTTTCTGGAGACCATATTTTACTTGAGAAAATCCTCTTCCTATAGGTGCTGAGGTAATAGGTAAGCTCAGAAAAAAACTCTACTAAATGGAGGATATTCTGAGTTTTTTTTTTTTAATTGAAATGTGTAAATATTCCAGCTCAAATATCTCCATAGATTTCAATCATGCTGCTTCCATCCAGGGTAATTTTCATCAACAAATATTTTTATAAGCCAAAACTTATCCCCTCCCCTCTGGCAAAATTGATTATCCTTTCGAATGTTTAATCAAATTTAGATGCTGCAAAACAGTAGACCTTCTTGATTTCCTTCCATTCCAGTACTGAATATAAATTTTTCCAATTAAAACTAAGAATCTCATCAAAAGTTTCTTCCCCACATGTTGAGCTATTCCAAAAACAATTATGGGATTTAAAAATTATACCTCGTACACCATTGGAGCTCTCAGCATTTAATTTCTTCATCTCCTCCCTTGCTTTTGTAGGAATGAATTTCCATGTTTCTCTATTGGCAAGGATTGTTTCTGATAATTATAATTCACTAGAGCTTCAAAGCTCAAAATTCTTGGCACTCATTTATTGAACACATTGATTAAAGACTTCCAACAAATTTGAAAACAGTGCGACAAAAATTTAGAGGACTTATTTACAAAAAGTTGCGTGCCTCTCAAGGACATTAGGTTGATGTACAAAGGGCTCCAACATCTCAAGGGTCTGATTAATGACTGCAGCAAAGACAGGATGCCTTGGAGGCTGAAGTCTATTTTGGTACTCAGCATGAACTTTGTCACAATGTTTTTTGTAGCCCAATTTCCAGAACTGTATATATAAAAATTTTGTAAGGCTGGGTGCGGTGGCTCATGCCTGTAATCCCAGTATTTTGGGAGGCCCAGGTGGGCAGATCACCTGAGGTCAGGAGTTCAAGACCAGCCTGGCCAACATGGTGAAACCCCATCTCTACTAAAAAATACAAAAATTAGCTGGGCATGGTGGCATGTGCCTGTAGTCCCAGCTACTCAGGAGGCTGAAGCAGAGAATTGCTTGAACCAGGAAGGTGGAGGTTGCAGTGAGCCAAGACCACGCCACATGTCTAGTGGACAGAGCAAGACTCCATCTCAAAAAAAAAAAAAATTGTAAACGTTTGTAACAGCTTCTACTGTTAAAATAGCAGATAAAATATCAGAGATGCTTTGACTGCAAATATGAATAACAGGTTCACCTCAACCAATGCCAAGTACACCTCTGCTCTGCAGGTCTCCTAACGTGGTGAGAACATAGATTTTTATCAGGATGCTGCTGCAGGCGCTCCTCCTCTACCTGGATTAAGTTTGTCTTTTGTTTTCCTTTTGAGCTTAGTTATTTTGTTATTCTAATATTCTCATCTTTCCTAAATTTTTATCTTCCTAATCTATCAATGGCTGAGAGAGGTATACTAAAACTTCCCCACATGGTAGTGAATTTATTTCTCTGTAATTCTATCAATTTTTGCTTTTTGTATTTTTATTTATATTATTAGACACATACAAAATTTTAATTGTTACAGACGCCTAGTTAATTGAACTGTTCATTATGAGCAGCACTTTTAGTCTCTGGTCAAGTGGTTTACATTAAAGTCAATTGGTCTGATATTAATATAGCTATAACTTTCTTTTAGTAAGTGGCATTCAATTTTTCTATGCCTTTATGTTTTAGGTGTGTCTATTGTTAATACCCTATAGATAGATTTTTTTTTTTTTTTCTGTGACAGAGTCTTGCTCTGTTGCCAAGAGCTGGGGTACAATGGCGCAATATTGGCTCACTGCAACCTCCACCTCCTGGGTTCAAGCAATTCTCCTGCCTCAGCCTCCCAAGTAGCTGGGATTACAGGCACATGCCACCACGTCTGGCTAATTTTTGTATTTTTAGTAGAGATGGGGTTTCACCATCACCATGTTGACCAGGCTGGTTTCAAACTCCTGACCAGATTTTTTTTTTTTAATTTAAGTATGACAATCTTTAACTGTAGAGTTTTACAAGTTTACTTCATTTATATTTATTGTAGTTATAGTTTTATTTGGATTCATTTCCACCAACGCATTACATGCTTTCAAATTGTGCTACCAATTTTGTTTTTTCTAACCTTCCTTAACTCCTGTTGGATTAAATTCCTTTTCCTCATTCCAGTATCTCCCTCTATTAATTTGGAAGTTATAGCTTCTACTTTTATTCCTTTAGTGATTGCCCTAGTAATTTTAGTAAGGAATTCTGAGATTCATCACAATCTTTAACTTTTTCTAAATAACACAAGAACCTTAAACACTCAAACTCTGATCAGTCTTTTCCTGCTGTATAATATTGATGAATAAGGTAAACACGTATCTTTTAAAACCCCACAAAATGTTGGTTTTCTATGTAATCAGTTTTGTCTTGATTTACTCACATATTGAGCACTGTTTTTGCTCATCATTCTTCCTTATTTATCTGACTTTTCTTTAGAATTCTTTCTAGTGACAATCTTTCGGGGCAAATCCCTGCAGATTTTTAAATATTTGAAGATGTCTTTATTTTTACTTTCATTTTTTTCTTTTTCTCTTTTTTTTTTTTTTTTTTTTTTGAGACACAGTCTCACTCTGTCACCAAGGCTGGAGTACAGTGGTACAATCTTGTTTCACTGCAGCCTTCGCCTCCAGATTCAGGCAATTCTTGTGCCTCAGCCTCCTGAGTCACTAGATTACAAGCACCTGCCACCATGCTTGGCTAATTTTTTATATTTTTAGTACAGACAGGGTTTTGCCATGTTGGTCAGGCTAGTCTCGAACTCCTGGCCTTAAGTGATCCTCCTGCCTTGGCTTCCCAAAGTTCTGGGATTATAGGCATGAACCACCACATGTGGCCTTTTTTGTTTATAGAGACAAGCTCTCACTTCATTGCCCAGGCTGACCTTAAACTCCAGGTCTCAAGTGATCCTCCTGCCTCAGCCTCCCAAAGTGCTGAGCTTTACGTTCATTCTTGAAAGTCATTTTTGCTGGATAGATATTTTCTTTATGCGTATTGAAGATATTTTTCACTATTTTCAGATTACCATTTTTGCTACTGAGAGCCAGCCATTGGTCCGTCCTACCCCTCCTCCTTTTTTTTCTCTCTCCCTCCTTCCCCACATCTCTCTCTCTCTCTCTCTCTCTCTCTGTCTCGCCCCCACTCTTCCTTCCATCCCTGTTATTCTTTACCTAAGTGTGAATTTCTTTTATTTATTTTGTTGGAAATTGATAGGATTTCCTGATTTCAAGGATTGGTGTCTCACATTCATTCTGGAAATCTGTCTAAACATCTCCCATGTTGCTCACTCACATGGACTCCCTAATCCCCTTCTGGAACACAGGGGATGCTAACTCTTCTCATCCTTCTGGGTCTGTGCTCCATGTCTATTGTCTATGTCTCTCAATGCCTCTTTCAGATTTCCTGCCACTTTGTCCCACTGTGCCATGTTCTAGATACTTTTTTCAGGTATAGTTTCCAGTTCATTGATTTTTTTTTCACTTTCCCCTGCTGTATTGGAGGATGTGACACGTTTATTTACACATCTTTCGCAGAAATCAATAACACATGGGTAAAAGACCTAAAGATGAGTAGCAAAATTCTAACACTTTTAGAAGCAAATATAGGACAGTATCATTTGACCCCAGGGTTATGAAGTCTCCCTTAAGTAAGACACCAAAACCCAAACTACCAAGAGAGAGAGGTAAATTCAGTTAATCAAAACATGTAACAATTCGTCATGTGCACACACACAAATAACACAAAATGAAGACACACCAAAGTCAAGATGAGAGAAGATCGTTGTTTAAATTATGACCAGGAGTACATCCAATAGAAAAATAAGGAAAGACTCTGAAGAGTTACTTCTTAGAAGAGGAAACCCAAAAGGCCAGCAAACAGACTGGAAAAAAAAAAAAAAAAAGAGGAAAGAAAAGTTCAATTTGATTAACAATCAAGAAATTGTGACCAGGTGCAGTGGCTCATGCCTGTAATCCCACACTTTGGGAGACCAAGGCAGGCCGGTCACTCCTGAGCTCAAGTAATCCGCCCACCTCGGCCTCCCAAAGTGCTAGGACTACAGGCATGAGCCACTGCACATGGCCACACACCATTCTTTCATCCCATTTCCCTACACCTGGCTCTTTCTAGCTTTGCTTACTCCTCTCTAGAAAAGAAAAGTTCTTTTTTTCTTTTCTAGAACTTTTTCTAGAACTTTTTCTAGAACTCCGGAGATGCTTGCAGACCTCATTCTATTACAATAGTTCCCCTCCACCCACTTGCAATAGCCCTTTTCAATAAAGCTTTCTTTACTACAACCAAATTTGCGTTTCCTCTGCCAGCATAAGCTTCAGGGTATAGGAGGGCACCACCCCAGCATGGCACCAGGGAGACGAATCAGGATCAAACTGCATCTTAGCCAGGCACCCTTCATCCCTCTTCCGGGGGATTCTGTGGGGTAAGTCAGGGCTTCTCAGATTCCCCCCACACCTGTTCTGATTCATCTTTCTCAGAGCTGCCGGGTCAGGTGCTGCGTGTCTCTTTCTGCTTCTCAAATCTTATTTCCATCGTCTCCTGTCCTGTTCTCTTTGTCCTTGTGGATAAACATCTGTAAAAATCCACTGAATGTCATGCTAGTGGGTTTGAAGAGGGAGAGGGAGAAATAGTGTGTGCTTCATACACCATCTTTACCAGCCTAATTTCCATCCTAATGTCTGCATCTATTTTTATCTTGTTTACTGCAGGAATAATGTCTCCATAATCCTAAGACACAAATTTTTCAAAGTGTAAATGTTTCTGAAATGAATGAATTCATCTTACAGTGGCTGTCAAAGACCTGGCCAGCCCAAGCCTAAGTGGGTATAGAGGACCCCACCCCCTCAAACTAAGAGGGGTCCTGGGATTGGGGAATTTCCATTTTAAACGTGGGACGAGCAAGTCATCCTACACAAGAGTGACCCAGCTGCACAGGCCAGAGGGTGTGACCTCAGCCCACTTGGTGTCCCCTCAACCTCATCACTTCAGTTAATTTGTGGACGTTGGTAGCACCACAGCATTTAGACTGAAACCTAAGTGTGCACAGCTAATTGGACTTTAAAATTGGGTTTCATGGGACAAGATGGTGAAGTAGTAAAGCCAAACATTTCTTTCTCTTCAGTCAGTGCAGGCTGCCTGGAGAAATGAGGCGCTGTTCACATGGAAATGGGGCATCTGCAGAGCTGTCCCTGCCATCAGCAACTTCGTCACGAGTTGATGCCTGCGCTTGGCCGGGGGCAAGGGGGGTTCCTCCTTACCTTTTTTTAGAGCAGTGACGCGATCTCGGCTCACTGTAACCTCTGCCTCCCAATTCAAGCGATTCTCCTGCCTCAGCCTCCTGAGTAGCTGGGATTACAGGCGCCCACCACCACTCTCAGACAGTTTTTGTATTTTTAGTAGAGACAGGGTTTCACCATGTTGGCCAGGATGGTCTCCAACTCCTGACCTCTAGTGATCCACCTGCCTTGGCCTCCCAAAGTGCTGGGATTACAGGCGTGAGCCACTGCAGCCAGACCCCCTTACCTTTTGAGGCTTATGTTTGAAACCATGTTGGCATTTGTATCAGTCAGCTATAGTCAGTGATGCTGCCTAACAAACCACCCCAAACTCAACAGCTTCAAACAATAATCAAGTCTTCTCTCCCGCATGCCTGTGGTTAGTTGGAGGTCAGTGAACAAGGACTGGGCCAGGCTTGACTCTAAGCTGCAGGTTGAATCCAGGTGTGCTCCACCTGTGTTTGTTTGCGGCTGCAAGCCAAAGAAGCAGCAGCTACCTCGGGGCAGCCTTCTCATGGATGGTAGAAGTGCAGTGTGGTGAGGCCACTTCTTCCAAGCGTTTCAGGTCTTTGCAGTGGCAAAGCTACTCATTTCCATTTGACCAAAACAAGTCACACCAATAAGTGGGCATCTGGGCTCCACCCACTGTGGAACCGATGCAGGTCACATGTCCAGGTCCAGCACCAAGGGGTGAAGAAGTGCCATCCCCCATGGGGGTGCGGGGCAGGGGGTGAATATTCTGGAACGATAATCTAATCTATGTCAGCATCTTTATACTCATAGCCTGTCTCTCTTAATTGGCAATTAAAAACTAAAAATAGGCCAGGTGCAGTGGCTCACACCTGTAATCCCAGCACTTTGAGAGGCCAAGGCAGGTGGATCACCTGAGGTCAGGAGTTCAAGACCAGCCTGGCCAAAGTGGTGAAACCCTGTCTCTACTAAAAATACAAAAATTAGCCAGGCATGGTGGTGGGCACCTATAATCCCAGCTACTTGGGAGGCTGAGGCAGGAGAATCGCTTGAACCCAGGAGGCAGAGGTTGCAGTGAGCCAAGATCGCGCCACCTCACTCCAGCCTAGGTGACAGAGTGAAACCCCCGTCTCAAAAAAAAAAAAACCAAAGTTTCTATGGTCTCACCACCACTTCCCATCTGACATCAAATATGTGTTCCTAAACCAACCAATTCTGCAGCTCCCTGGACACTGGCTGATTTTTCCACAATTTAACTCAGTTCTGACACTATGTACCTGGCATTAGTGCAGACCCCACCAGGTAAAGGCCAGTCCCACAAGACTGTCCCCCACTTCAGACACCAGTTGCAAGTATTGAATCCCCACGTCACCCACATTTCCACTCAACTTGGCTCTAAATTGACTATAAGTCACCCATGACCCTCTCCTCAGTTTCGATTAATTCGCCAGGACTCAGCTCTCAGGGAAACGCTGCACTTGTGCTCCCTGGTCTGTTATAAAGGAGACGATAAAGGGGGCAGGTGAATAGCAGAGGAGGAGGCATACAGGGCGAGGCCTGGGAAGGCCCCAAGAGCAGGAGCTTCTGTCGCCCCAGAGTTGGGGTGCGGCACCACCCAGCACCTGGATGTGCTCACCCACCTGGAAGCTCTCTGCACCTGTAGTTCAGGCTTCATCATGGAGGCAAATCCGGTTATTAGCTCAGTCTCCAGCCCCTCTCCCCTGCCTGGAGAGTGGTGGGTGGAGCTGAAAGCTCCAGGCTTCTAATCATGTCTGGGTCTTTCTAGCCCTCAACCCCCACCCAGGAGCCACCAAGCATCACCTCATTAGAATAAAAGGTGTTTCTATCTCCCCAGAAATTCCAAGGGATTCAGAATCACTGTCAGGAACCAGGGTCGCAGACCAAATGTTAGAACAAAAGGTTTTCCTAGCACCCCTGTCACAAGGGTTTTCAGAGCTCTGGCCCGCAGCCAGGGACAAAGACCAAAATATACGTTTCTAATTATATCACAATATCACAGCAGTCACATGGACCTACTGAAGCACTTCAGTGTTGGTTGTTCAGGAGGATGAGTGCCTCTGTCTTTGAGTGCTGCCTCAACTCCCTCCACCCCACCCCCAAGTGAATTTTGCAATTACTTCTTGGAATACATTTTATGTTGGGCCATCCCAACCATAGTCTCCCAATTCTGTGAGTGTATTCCTGAGCTACAATAATAGACAAAAAGGCCAAAAATTCATTTTGTGAATAAGCCCCATGCTTGTCACACACCTGCCGATGCATTAAAAGGCAGGTGAAATTGCCAAATCTCTCAGAATAGAGTCTAGCATTTCTGAGGCTTGGAGAGGTTTTGGTGACCAATTCATGTGTTAAAAAGGAATATCACTCAGGAGCCAAACATCCCTCTGTCTAAAGTGTCTGGCTGCTTTTCAGAAACAGCCATTTAACTTCCAGTGATAAGTAATTCAATTAAGGGAAAAATGAAACTCTCGCTCCTGTACAAACCCCCTGGATTCCTCAATGCCACTCAGATCCATTCTGCCAGTTCTGAGAGTGCGGGGGCAGGCAGATCACAAACAGGGTTTGGAAAGCAAAGTGTGATGTTATGTGCAGTGGCCAAGTGGGATTCAGAAGAAATCGTGGGCTCAAATCTTGATAGTGATCACCAAAAAGAAATTGAGCAATCGGGATGGAATTGTGTGGTTGGAGGTATGCACTTGTCACTGAGGTTTTTTTTTTTTTTAATCTTGGAATTATAGTTGTGTTTGCTAGTGTCCTGGAAAACTATCAAATTAGTGTTGCCTCCCATGCCTGGGGGCATCTTAGGGATGAGGAATGGATTTTGTATGCCACCATGAATCTAATTTGGGAAGAAAGCTGCAAGTGGGTGGAGGGACGGAGAGAAAGAAAACACGGTGTGGGCCGGGCGCAGTGGCTCATGCCTGTAATCCCAGCACTTTGAGAGGCTAAGGCGGGTGGATTGCTTGAGCCCAGGAGTTTGAGACCAGCCTGGGCAATACAGGGAGACCCTGTCTCTACCAAAAAAAAAAAAAAGTATTGGTCATGGTGGTCCTAGCTACTCAGGAGGCTGAGGTGGGAGGATGGCTGGAGCCTGGGAGGTAGAGGCTGCAGTGAGCCATGATTGCACCACTGCACTCTAAGCTAGGCCACACACTAAGACCCTGTCTCAAAAAGAAAGAAAAGAGAAGAAAAAAGAAAAGAAAAGAAAGGAGAGAGAAAGGAAGGGAAGGAGGAAGGGAGGGAAGGAGGGAGGGAGGGAGGGAGAGAGGGAGGAAGGGAGGGAGGGAGGGAGGGAGGCAGGCAGGCAGGCAGGCAGGCAGGCAGGCAGGAAGGAAGGAAGGCAATGTGTATGTTCTACCGTATGAGGGCAGGGCAACCTACAAATCTGAGGACTGCGGTGACTCGGGATCAGTTAACCAGAAAAGGTGAGAGGCGTCCCCATACCTGGAGGACGGAGATCTGGGATCTGGTCATGGAAGCACCAGGAGCCATCTGGGATGTCTCCCAGGAACACGCCCACCTCCCGTGTGGCCCAGAGGCCAACGCTCAGGGGACTTTCTCAGCCAGCAGCTTGAAGACCCGCCTCTCCATTTGTCCTGTGTCCATGGGGCCACCTGGTCAGGACTCTCACCTTCGAATCAAAATTCACTGAAACTGAAATGCTTGATTTAGCTTAGGGTGTGTGGTTCTAGTTATATTTTTTTTCTAGTGTACGTTGGAATAAATGAGAAGCTGTCTTAGTTTGGGCCTCTTCAGAAGTTCACAGCAGGCTGGACAAAGCCGAGGTCTGACGGTCAGATTCAGCCAGTGTGCACACAATGAACCACTCTTGGAGACAGTTTATTACTGACATACACAGTGAATGGAAGAGGAGCTGAAAGTGCCAGTTCCCTGGGTCTTTGTCCCACACCAAAAAGGACAAGACTGAGCCAAAAGGGGCCAGGGACTGTGATTGGGCGGGTGGGGCCTCCTATGGTCGAGGGCCCATGTCTCGGCTGCAGATAAGCGTGCTTCTATTCCGTATTCATCCCGAAAGCTGGGGACTCTGGGAGTCCCTTGAGAGCTGGTGCCTCAGGGACCACCCTCAGCACTCGCTGGATGAGGGGCGTTCCAGGGGTGTGAATTCTTCAGGACTATTTTTTTTTTTTTTTTAGAGACAGGGTCTCTGTCACCCAAGCTGGAGTGCAGAGGCAAGATCGTGGTTCACTGCAGCCTCAACCTCTCGTGCCCAAATTATCCTCTTGCCTCAGCCTCTCACGTAGCTGAGACAACAGGTGGGTGCCACCATGCCTGGCTAATTTATTTACATTTATTTATTTATTTATTTATCTGTTTGTTTTTGTAGAGATGAGGTCTCACTATGTTGCCCAGGCTGGTCTTGAACTCCAGGGCTCAAGCGATTTACCTGCCTCCGCCTCCCAAAGTGCTGAGATTACAGGTAGGAGCCACCATGCCCGGCCTCTTCAGCACTTCTGAGCGAGACCAGCTCTTGCAGGGATGCTGCCAACCAAATGGATGGTGTTGGTCTTTAGCGATGGCATGAGCCTGAACAAGCCACTGGCCTCCCTGTGCCTCTGTTTCCACAGCTGCAAAATGGAGACACCACCTTCTGGTGTGGGAGACCGTTTTGGCCCCACGCCACCCCCTCAGCTCACCCTGGCAGGCTCAGCAGAGCACCCCCAATGCCGGGACCCAGGCCACTGCCGATGCCCTGCCCCTAGTGCCCTCAAAATGTCCCCACCTCTGTGCTTTCAGGCTTTTTCTGAAGCCAGGAGCTTACTCAGCCTTCCCCCTATGGGGAGCCTGGACGTGGAGGGGAGTCACCACCCTTCGGGATAAACCTCAACTCGTGGGATTGGGGTCAGTGGAGAACAGCTCTGTGTCTTATTGTCAAGGTGCCTTCTACACAGCCGTAGGGCCCCAGAGGGGCTGGGTATCCCCTGCAGCAGTAACACGCTCTGGGCCGGCTTCCCTCCTGGCCTGCCTCACCCTGCTTCCTGGGGCTGCAACCTGTACCAGCATCTGCTTCCCCGGTGGCCCACACAGAGCTGCCTCCCTCGTGGGCTTGCTGTGGGATTCGGTGAGTTACACAGCTCAGGGCAGGGCAGGAGCTGTGACTGAGAGGTCTGCAGTGCAAGGGCAAGAGAGGAGAGAAGGGAGGGCACCCATTCGTGCTTTGAAGCAGCCACCCAGGCCATTGAATGACAGTGGACCTGGGGGAACTCAGAGCATGTCCTAGAAGTTGCTGTTGGGATGGTCCAGCCCGGAGATGGGGCCTGGGATCAGGGGCTGTGGTGAAGATGTGGGGAGACAGGCAGACTAGATACTGTGAAGAAGCAAAGTCCTCAAGATTTGGTGATAAATCAGGAAAAGAAGATGAGGAAGAGGGAAATGTTAAGTACGACCTCTAGACAGCGCGGCTGAGTGGGTGGTGGTGCCAGCCATGGAGATGGAGAGCTCTGGCGAAGAACCAGATGTGGGGACCACTTCCCACCCTGCCCTGAGGCTACCAGCCTGGCTGTGACCTCTCAAAGGGAAGACTCCATGTCCAGAGAAGAGTGGGGGGATCCCCCAGCCCAGACAGTTTAGGGAATTGTTTTCACTAGAGAGTCATCATAATTTTTTTTTTTTTTTTTTGAGACGTTTTGCTCTGTTGCCCAAGCTGGAGTGCAATGACGCAGTCTCGACTCACTGCAACCTCTGCTTCCTCGGTTCAAGCAATTCTCCTGCCTTGGCCTCCCAAGTAGCTGGGACTACAGGCGTGGGCCACCATGCCCGGCTCATTTTTTTGTATTTTTAGTAAAGACGGGGTTTCACCATTTTGGCCAGGCTGGCCTCGAACTCCTGACCTCAAGTGATGCGCCCGCCTTGGCCTCCCAAAGTGCTGGGATTACGGGCGTGAGCCACTGCACCCGGCCAATTCATCACAATTTTTGAAAGCAATTGAAGTGAAGGTGATACTGAAAAACAAGTCATAAATCATGACTGTTTCCTGTAAGTTTGAGAGATTAAATGTGTATCAAGATGGCTATGGTCCCAAGGCCAGAGAGATTGAGTTGTGGATTCCTTTTCTTTCCAACTCCTCATTTCCACTGAATTAGAAAATCCCATCTCACAATTCCCAACCTTTGACAATGGCAGGCAGCACACGGTGGCTCCTTCTGGAAAAGACAAGCTGAGATCAGACAAGAGACAGTCACTTGTGACAGATTTCTTGCAGAAAACGGATTCTGCCACTGCCAGACTCAGTCGAATGCTGGAAAGGAGGCTGTGAGAGAGATAAGATAACAGGAAACGGGCTCCTCACCCGCTTTTTCGCTGTGCCCAGCTCTGGACATCGTTCACGTTTGCTTGCAGCTCGTGGATGGGATCCCTTGTGTCTGATCCTCAGCTGCTTTTCCCAGCAGTTCTCACTGTGATTTGGTCTTTTTGAAGCATCTGTGACTTTCCTGGCCTGAAACAACGGACCTGGGGCCTTCCTGGTACTAAACAGACACTAAATGGATCCTCCTCGAGCCCCTGGGCATCTGGCAGGGATGTCCACTCACTTTATCCGTGTCAAGAAGCAGAGGCTCGTGTGCTGTTTTGTTTCAAATCTCTTCGTGAGAATGTGGTGCCTGCTGTCAATGACCTCCCAGGGAGAATTCAGACGCCTCAGCAGCTGTGCTTCGTCCTGCTGTCAGTGATTCAAGTTAATTCCTTCGAAGTGAGGCAAAGTTAGGGCACCGATTTTTTTTTTTTTTTTTTTTTTTAGGCAGAGTCTCACTCTGTCACCCAGGCAATCCTCCCGTTTT